CGATGGCAGATGCATGAGGATCAGGGCATCAACGAGATCGAAAGTCGCAAACCTTGGTGCGAAATGCAATGTAGGCCGTCATACAATCAACCCGCATAGTAAGAATGAGCAGCTGTCCAAGGTTTCCCCAGTATCCTTCCCCTTCGGCCCATCCTTGACCCCTTTCGCTGGCCGCGCCCCGCTCGCAGCGTGTCGACATGGCCTTCCACGGCCTTTGCATCCTCATCGTGCGTCCTTCTTATACGGGCTGACTGTGCCTAGAGAAGCTTATCCCGTGGTGCCTTTCCACCCCTCCTCCTCCTCCTCCTCCTCCTCCTCCTCCTCGTCCTCCTCCTCGGCCTCCTCGTCCTCTTCCTCCTCGTCTTCCTCCTCCTGTACCTAGAGTAGCTTATCCCGTGGTGCCTTTCAACCCCTCTTCTCCTCCTCCTCCTCCTCCTCCTCCTTCTGCTCCTCCTCCTCCTCCTACCTCTCCTCCTCCTCCTGCTCCTCCTATCCTCCTCCTCCTCCTCCTCCTCCTCCTCTCCTCCTCCTCCTCCTGCTCCTTCCCCTCCTCCCCCCTCCTCCTCCTCCTCCTCCTCCTCCTCCTCCTCCTCCTCCTCCTCCTCCTCCTCCGCGTCCCTGTCCTCCATGAGCCGTCCCGCTCGCCCTGGCCGCCCCCTCCAGATCGGGTAGACGGACAGGCGGGGTTGCGGTTCGTGCTCCCCTTCACCCGAGGAGGACAGAGAGGAGGTTGTCGTTCCTCGTTGCCCTCCCCCCGATCTCTCTCTCTCTCTCTCTCTTTTGTTTCTTTTCTCTCTCGCTCTCTCCCTCTCTATCTCTCTCCCTCTCTCCCTCCCTCTCTCTCGCTCTCTCTCCCTCGCCCATCCTCCTGGCGGGGGGAGTGGACAGGAGGGAGGGACGGGGCGGATCGCGAGGTCGAGCGTCGGAAGAGTCGCTCCTTCCGCCCCTTCCCTCCCCCTCCTCTTCTCCAACAGTATGCAGTACTGCCACAAGCAGATTCTCTCCACTGGTGCCGTCCAGTGCGGGGGCTGCGTCTCCCGCGTATGGGCTTCGCACAGCATGTCAAACATGTGCGTGTTGTCTGTGTTGTTGTTCGGACGGACCGTTTTCTGCATGGTCTCTCCGTATCTCTTGGTGCTCTGCTCGCATCTTCTCAGACCGTCCGCCTTCGGCCAGCCCTACCGGCGGTCACGCATCGGCGCTTGCCGCACTCTTGCCCCCCCTCCTCCTCAGCGGCCGCTCAAAGTACGTACAGTGCCGTTTTTAATACATGCTCCGCGTGCGGATCATGTATTACACATGCAGGGCTTTAGCATTAAAAACAACAACGAGTTCATGCATACATTCTTCTATAAATGAACCCTGTCTTAAAATCCAATGTTTTTCAAAATCCTGTGTATTAATGACTGCCATGTGCCTTCGGATTCCCGGAGTCCAGTCTGCTCCCGGCGCCCTCCATCCTCGGGAGCCGACTGGCTGGCGTCGTCCCTCCTCATCGGGGGGCGGGCGTACAGTCCGCTCGCGTCCAAAAATTAAGTCGGGCGTGTCCCCCCACAGGGGGATTTTCGACGAAAGATGAAAAGATACCCCAAAAATACACCACAAAGGTCAAACAATACTCAACAAAATAGTCCCCAGACTATGTTTGGAATCTTTTTTGATTATTGTTGGGGTATTTTCTATCTTCCGTCGAAAATCCCCCTGTGGGGGGACAGGCCCGACTTAATCCAAAACGCACACCCTCGAAAGCAGGGCGGGAAGCGATCTCCAGGCTCCGAAGAGGCCTGCCGCCCAGGTCGGGCACATGCTTCCCCGACCTCGCCCGGGCGTCTCCCAGGATTTGCCGATCCGCCGCGTCGGGTTTCGCGCTCAGTGATCTGTGTGTATTTATTTGTGTGTCCCAGGGCCCCTTCACTCTTCCATGAAGGAAATTCCAGAGGCCGCGCGAGGCGCGCAATCGTCGTACCATCGGGTCCACACGTCCTCTCCGTAGGGCATGGGTCGACGATCGCGAGATCGATGCTCCGACGTAAGTCCGACGTGAATCCGATATAAATGCGACCTACATCGACGAGGACCCGACGTACATCCGAGGTTAATTCGACGTACGTGAGCCTCAACTTGCCGCGCCAGTGCTCCAGGATGATCCTCATAACTTACTTCGGATCGGATCTCTCCTGCTACCAGTCGTCCTCGATGAGTGCCTGCTCCTTGTCCTTCCCCTCCTCCCCCTGGTTCTCCTCTTCCCCCTCCGCCAAGCTTTCGCCTGGCCCCTTGTCCCCTTGCGCTGCACGTGCCATTCCAGAATTGGCACCTGGATTTTGCGAAATAGAACCTGTTGAGCACAATAGGCAGTATATGGGAGGGTGGGATAGACCGGACGGAGCTAGGACGAGGATAATCCCAGAGCGTTCCGCAATGCATGCTCTCAGAGCGCTCCAGAACGCTCTGATAAGGCCGCGGCGCCCGAGACAGCCTCCAAAGCCGCCGGATCTGGGAGATTCTCGATTTATCCTCACCCGATGTTATCCTCGTCCTGGCTTCGTCTTACCACGGCGGTGGCCCTGCCCACCCACCGTTACGTTGCATCTTCGGGGTACCTCGCCTGTCCCCCAAATTCGTGTCTTCGTTTGTGCTCGACGCGGGCTCGATGTGGACTCGACGCAGAGCTTGCGTGGGTTCGGCGCGGATTCGACACGCATTCGACACGGATGCGACGAGCCCGACATAGAGTCGACACGGACTCGACGCGGATGGGGCCGCGACAGGACAGTCAAGGTCCTCCGAGGATGCAGAGCCACCGAGCGGTGGTTCCGCCCACCCTCCGCCAGCCTCCACCTCTGGCTGGGCGCCAGCTGTTGGTCCTCTCTGGGCGGCGGCCGCCCAGGCCGTGCAGGACTCGGCCCTCCGCGGCCGCGCCGACGACCGGGCCCTCAGGGCTGGGGGCGGCTGCTCCCCGCGGCACGCCGGCGCCCGTGGCCTAGCGGGAGGCATGCTGCGCGGGCCCTCGACTTGCCGTGGGGGCGCGCCTCAAGACACCATCTGCTCTCGTCGGGGTGCCCTGGGTTTCTGCGCTCCGCGCGCTGCGCGGTGACGTCCCGCAGCCGTTTTGCAGGAGCTGCTGCGTTCAGGGCGCTCCGGGTGTGTCCTCGGGTGCACCTCGCGCACGGGTTCTCAGGGTCGGGTTTCTTGCGAGGGTTTCTTGCGGTCGCGCCCGCACCGTATCCTCACCCCCAGATGGCCCTCGTCGTCCCCGCCTCCCTGCGCCCCCTCCTCCCCTCCCCCGCTGCCTTGCCTCCGCCCCTCAGTCTCGACACATCCTCCTCCTCCTCCTCCTCCTCCTCCTCCTCCTCCTCCTCCTCCTCTTGAACAAGCTAAAGCTACGAGGCGCGAGTTCTCCTCCTCCTCCTCCTCCTCCTCCTCCTCCTTCGCATCGTTCCTCCTCCTTCTCATCTTCGTTCTCTCCACTCTCCCGCTCCGCCGCCTCCCCGCTCGCTCCTCATCCCCCCCACTCCTCCTGAACTCATCCACTTCCTGTTTCTCCTTATTCTTCCTATTTCCGTCCCTCTCCATTCCCTCCTCCGCACTTTCCGCTCTCTATTCCTACCGCCGTGGCGGAAAGGGAGCTCATATTGTTGGGCTCCCGCAGGCACACATTGCCTAGGGTCTTGCACGAAGTCGAAGCAGGAAGAGGAGGGGAATGGAGAAGAGGAGAGGAGGAGCTGGAGGAGGAGGGAAGGGCAGGAGGGGGAGCACAAGTGATGAACAGGAGGGACCAGAGGGAGAGCACTTCAGGAGGAGAGCGAGGATGAGAATGAGGACGGAGTCGGAGGGGAAACGTGGACGACGAGGAAACGAACGGAGGATGATGAGGAGACGACGTGGACGACGAGGAAGCGTGGACGACGAGGAAAGACGAAACGACGAGGAAACGTGGACGACGAGGAAACGACGTGGACGACGAGCAAACACAGGAGGATAGCGAAGATGAGGAGTGATGGGCGCAAGAGGCTCGACGAGGTGCCCTGGAGAGTACTCTGTTGCCAGGCCGGGTGCGGAGCTGGACGTCCAACGGGTGCCGCCCCCTTGAAGGCAAAACATTCTGCACGAACGAGATGGGCACGGAAAGAATGGGTACGATGCGCCCAACAGCGGCCGCTGCTGGTTCGGGACAACATTTGCTGTTGGGCACTGTGCCCATTGTTTCCGTGCCCATTTCGGGCGTCCAAAAACATGGCTTGAGGAATTGGGTGCCGTTTTGCTTTCGGGTGCTGCTAGCCTGGGGCAGATGCGTCCAGACAACGATCGCCTTCAAGCGACTGCGCCCTCCTTCAGCACGCATCTCTGCTGGCCTCTGCCCTGTGGGTCTTGAGGGCACTACCGCTGGCGGTGGGTTCTTGGTCTCCTGGTCCTCTTCCGTCCAGCGGCCTGCGTCGCCTGAGGTGTTCGGGTTCGGTAGCCCTCTCTTTTGTAAGCAGCGTACGAGTACCAGTAATAGAGACTGGTTTGCAGGGTCCCGCGATACCTTGGGTCATCCGGCCAGCACCCTCCCCTCCGCCCCCTGGATAACCTGACCTTGTCGGCTGTTGAGGCCCGAAGGAGGTACGCAGTACTCGTGCGCGCGGGCACTCGTGCGGCTGCCCAGAGCGAAAAGGTTAGTTTATCGGCCGGCGCCTCCCCCTCCCCTCCCACAGGATAATCCAGTTTTCGCGAACCGCAAAAAAGCGTGCTCGCACCTTCCCGCAAGTCGATGCCACATAGTGTGGGGGTGGGCCTGGCGAGCTTCAGGGTCGAAGGTAACTATGTCAGCATGGTCCTCGCATGCTGTTGCACTCTATGCGCATCTTACGGGTCCAGGTTGTCTTCTGGCAACGTCTTTGACGTACAAATGGCGGCAAGCGGGAGGCTTTGGACATCACCCCCTGATCACACGCGCACCAGAATTAGGAATACGTCTTCCGATTTTGAATAAGCACAGAGGGTGGAGGAGGAGATAAGGAGGAGGATCACCTCTCCTCCCCTCCTCCTGCTGTTTGGCCCAAGCAATGGAGGCTCGAGAAGTTGTGTCTGCTCGGCATGGGATTCGCGTGTGCTGTGCAGTCGCTGGCCCCGAGAGCAGACGCCGAGGCGACCAGCTTTGCGGAGGCAGCGACGTCCCCGCCGCCGCCGCCCAGGCCGAAGCCGAAGCCCTTCTGGCTGGACCCTAAGGAGCGAGACCTCGAGTACGTGCTGGGGCGGGCGCAGGAGGCTGCCGCCGCGGCCAGAGCCGCCGTTGGCCACGCGCAGGCTCTGGCGCGCACCGCCGCGCGGGCGGAGCCGGCCGTGGGCCGGCTGTGCCCCAGGGTGGCCCCTGGCCGCCGCGCGGGAGCAGCGTTGGAGTACGAGACCTCGGCAGCAAATCATGGGGGCCCTGTTCAGTGCCGGTTTTTGATGCATGCTCCGCGGGCGGATCGTGCATCAGAAATGCAGGGATTTAGTATCGGACGCAACGATGAGTTCATGCATACATTTACCTATACGACCACCCTTCGGGTGATAAGGAGGTTCGGGGGGGGGAGGAACCAACGTCTCACTCGATCGGTCTCACTATCGATCTCACTATCGATCTCAGTATCGGTCTCGCTCGATCGATCTCCCTCGATCGATCTCACAATCGATCTCACAATCGATCTCACTCGATCTCACTCGATCTCACTCGATCTATCTCACACTCGATCTCACTCGATCATCATCATCATCATCATCATCATCATCATCATCAGCATCATCGTCCTCATCATCAGCATCATCATCATCAGCATCACCATCATCATCATCATCAGCATCAACATCAGCATCAGCATCATCAACAGCATCAACATCAGCATCACCATCATCATCATCATCATCATCATCATCATCAACATCATCATCATCATCATCATCTCATCATCAACATCATCATCATCATCATCATCATCATCATCATCGCGGGACACCGCGGGACCCCGGCGGGATACCGCGGGGCACCGCGGGACACCGCGGGACACCGGCGGGACACCGCGGGCCACAGGCCGCCCGGAAGGGAGACATTTGGTCCGGCCGCGCCTCAGCCACACGGGACACCAGCGGGACACCGGCGGGACACCGCGGGCCACCGGCCGCCCGGAAGGGAGACATTTGGTCCGGCCGCGCCTCAGCCACAGGAGACTTTCTTCTCGCCCGCCCACGCAGCTTCGCCTCGACCGCACGCACGGCACGCACGAACACGAAACCGAAATCGATTTCCCGGTAGGGGGGCTCTCCGTTCCACTTCGATATGACCCCCTCACCTCCGATTCAAGCATTAGTCATGTAATAAGCATCATATAGTTTTAAACATCATATGTATTTACCACCTGCCCCGTATGTCCTCGTAATTCCATCTTCAGGGTGCATCCGCGTGCGCGAGCGTCTCGTAAGCGATGAGGCTGCGCCGATGGAGCATCGGTTGGCGTCGGCAAGCGTCGATGCGTAGGAGCCAGCGAGATGGCATGGGAGGCTCCCATGGGTTGCCACCGAACGAGACTACCCAGTGCCACCACCTGGTCAGCAGCCTGAAGGCGGCGATCCGTCAGTCTCACCAGGCCGTCGAGGGGGCCGCGCAGTCGCAGCGCTCGCTGGAGCTGGCCGCCAATGCCACACTACAGGCCCTGCTGAACCCCGCGGTGCTGGCGCGCCCTGCAAAGTACAACGCGTACATGCGCGCCGGCAGCGCCCCCGAGGTGGCGCGGCGAGATCCACATAGATCCCCTGCTCCGGGCCTGGCCCATTCTAGGCCCCGGAGCGGTGCCCTAGCAGGCACGTGCAATGGTCGCTGGCGTCCAGCCTGGGCCGGGCCCCGGGGCAGTGGCTGTGCATAGATCGGGACGACCGACATGGGTACAGAAAGAATGGGTACAATGCCCAACAACATTTCCTGTCCATTTTGAACAGGACTCGCTGTCCGCGCCGCCGCGGACAGAAGTCCATTCGAGACAGAAGGCCGCCTGCCCGACAGCGGCCGCTGTTGGTTTGGGACAACATGTGTTGTTGGGCATTGTTCGGGGGTGGACAGACCTCCTACCCTGACACGTCGATTGAGGAATTGGCCGTCTTCGGTCCGCCAGAGGGCGTCGCGGCCGCCATTTGTGCGGGTCCAGGTCCGTCGGTCTCGGTCCCAGGCCGTTTTGACTAAGGGGAGGTCTGCTAAAGGGAGGTTTTCAGGAGAGGAAAAAGCACACAGACACAATTAATCCTCGATTCCCCAGAAAATATGGGGAAATATGGGAAGTGGGGGGGAAAACAGAAACCCAGAACATATGGGACAATATGAGGAAAAAGTTTATTTATGTGTATTTATTTGAAATTTATTTGTGTGTTCTGGGTCCCCTTCAGGTTTGTGCACCGCCGAATTGTACCCCTTTTTTCCGTACCCACTTCGGGCGGCCAGAACAGATCTCGCCGCCCTGCGAGGGGCTCCCCGGCAGACGGTGCCACATGGAGTGCGCCCACCTGGCGGCGGACGCCCCGCGCCGTGGGGCGCCGCCGGGCGGCGAGCCGCCGGGGCCCCCGCTGCCCGCCTTCGTGCGCCTGCCGCCGCCCGCCTTCCTGTGACGCCCCGCCCCGCGGCCGAGCGGCCCCGCCCGAGGGGGCGCGCGCGCGCGCGCCCGGGCGGGCGCGAGACCGCCGGTGGGCCGCGGCGCCGACGTCGTCGCCGCCGTCGTCGTCGTCGTCGTCGTCGTCGTCGTCGTCGTCACCTGCCCCCGCCCGAGGGGGCGCGCGCGCGCGCGGGCCCGCGGGCCGAGGGGGCGCCGCCTCGGCGCGCGGCCGTGCGAGGGCGCGGGAGGGCGGCCGCGGTCGCACGGGAGGGGGGGGGGGGGCGCACGGGAGCGGCCGGGGAGGAGCGGCGGGCCAGTTGCTCAATTATTCTCTTGCACAGCTGTGCTCTAGAGCTCGGACCGCTTTATTTTCGCTCGTTCGTCGTCGTCGTTCGTTCGTTCGTCGTTCGTGCTCCCCCCCCCACGGCCACACAAGTAAACTCCTGGAGGAAGGAGGCAAAAGCCTCCTGTCCCTCGCAGCTCCTTGGTGCAAGAGCCAGGGCACGCGTGCCACTTGTTTTAGGCGGGGCGTGAAAGCGACCACAGTGACTGCTTTTCTTCTGTCGTCACCTGCCAGCCCGCAGCAAGGAAGCAGTGGTTGTGGTCACTTTCGTTGAGCTTTGGCACCATGGGAATGACCACAACCGCTGCTTCTTTGTCGGCCGGCTGGAAGGCGGCGCAGACAAAAAGCAGCGGCTGTGGTCGTTTTCCCGTCCCGCATCTTTGGCCGTGGGGCAGAGTCAGGCGCCAGCTCCCTAATTGGCACTCGGGGCCCGGGAGCGGACGACAGCGAGGGCCAAGGGGACCGACCACACGGCGCGGGCGCACGGGAGCGGTCGGGGAGAAGCGACGGGCCAGAGTGAGGGGTCTGGGCCTCCCGGATGGGGTCCGAGCAGACGGGGTCGGAGGATCGCGCCGCATCGCCGATGCACTCACTGATGATGCGGCTTGATGTGGAGCCCGCGTTTCCCCACGCCGACGTCGCCGATGCATCGCGGATGCGGCGGGATCCTCAGACCCCATCTACTCGGACCTCAGCTAGGAGGCCTCGAAGGGGGGGGACACAGGGGAGGAGACGACCGCAGGCTGAGCAGTCCTCGGGGTCCTGAGTCGCCACGGGTGCTCGCTTCGAGGAGGAAGCGTCCGGGTAGATCTGGGGACAGATGTCCAGCGCCCTGGAAACCGGGGATTTCTGTTGCAAGCCATAACTTTCAAAGACGTGACTGAAGATAATGAAGAAGAAGAAGGGATAGTCACTCGACCAATGGCACCAGTCTGCTTGGTTGTGCCAATCTCATGGATTGTCAAAGTCCTGATTTACGGTGCCCTGAGGTTTGAGCATTCTTGATTCTATTACGTTAGAAGGTTGCAGTTCAGAAGTTCACGAGGAGGAGGAGGAGGAGGAGGAGGATAGTCACTGGAGGTCCATGGTTTGGGAAGAAGGTCAGGAAGGACTAGACATGGGGATATCGGACGATTCTTTTGGGGGAGCAGCCTCGTCTGGTCGAGACCCGTACGTCGGCGGTATGTCTTGGTATCTCCCGGGGTCTCGGCCGGACTACAGTGGCAGAGCCACAGTGGCACTAATCATGGCCAGTTCAGGGCTTGTGGGAGTGCATAGTTGGCATCTCGCTATGGCAGCAGGAAGGGGCCAATGAGTGGTGGGATGGGATAGGAGAAACTTCATAATGGGAAAGGCATGAGCAGGAGCAGAAGTAGGGGCCTATAGCCGAGGCTAGGATAAGAGAGCGCGATGAGAAGCTTCGACGAGCAGGACGATGACGCCGAGCGAACGAGCGAGCCCGCGAGGCGGACGACAGGCTCGAAAGTCCTAGGTAGCGAGAAAAATCAATGCGCATGAACCGCATAAGATCAAGCATGTCGAGGTCACGAGCTTTCGAGGTACGGGACACGCGTTTTAAACGCAATCTGCACGAACGGGACCCAGTGTCGAAGACGCGTTAGGCGAGTCACTTTCCGCCACCTGCCCTTCTGGAAACGGCTCTATGGCCGAACGTAGAGGCCAGAACGCGACAATTCAATACCTACACTGGAAAGCCATGGATCGGGCCGTCTGGGTCCTACAGTCGGGCTGCTGAAATAAGGGCCGCTAAATAAGGAACGAAGCCCCTCTGTGGCTTCAAAAACAAGCCTGGGTGCACGAGAAGGGCTAGAGGAATAACCACGGAAGGACGTAAAGAACATTGAGCCTTTTCCGAATCCAAAATGTTCCTTATTTCAGCGTCTTGGCTGTAGTGGAGGTCCCATCCGAGCCCTCTTGGAGTGCCTTGCGGGTCTCTTGGGCCGTGGCCAGGGGGTAGACTTGGGCCATGGTGGGGCTCTCCTGCAGTTGGCCATGTTGCGTCTTGGCGGCCTCTCGGGACCGTCTTGGAGGCCATCTTGGCTCATCTGCGCCGTCTCGGATACCTTGTTGGAGCCAACTCAGGCGGACATGCCCACGGATTCCCATCAGCATCATTGCGCTTGTTGGAGTACAGAAGCTTCGCGCATCCTCATCAGGCCATAGTTGAGTTGCGCTGGTGAGGGAAATGTAGCAGCATGTTGTGGCGCGAAGAGGGCGGGCAGAAGCTCCTTCAACTCGCGCGTGCCCCGTTCATATCTTCGTCCCGTCGGGACACTGCGAAAGCCCTCACGGTTGATTCCTGCGTTGTCCGTGACAGTGGACAGGCGCCAAGAGAGTTCGAGTAAGCCACAGGTTTCCGGTTATCGGAGTGATATCACTAAAGTGACTATCAACCTAAGTCAGCGCAGTAGAAGGAAACGTGTTGACAGTATTGGATGTAGCAGACAAGTGAAGGAGTTTTGGTAGTAGTGGTGATAGGTGGTTGTTTGTAGTACTAGCCCTGGTTGTAGTACTAGCCCTGGTTGTAGTTCGTGTAGTTGGATTAGTATCCTTACGCGCCTCACACGCGAACACTTTCGGGCGTTCTGTGGCACGCACCTCTGGGACACGTTCAGTAATACGCGCACCTTATGGAACGTACGTCGCACGCACTTTTGGGACACGTACGGAATCTTACATGCGAGCGTTCTGGGACGTGTCCCAGCATGCATCCTTTGGGACACATGTAGCAGTTGGAGGCGGAGGACGCGTAAGGGGAGGAAGAGTCGGACAGGAGAACATGACATGGGAGGAGCAGTAGGAGGATCAGGAGCACAAGGAGGGGGCGGAGGATACGTATTAGAAACATTCCGTGCCATCTTGCGTCATCTCGGGAATTGGTATGCCATGTTGGAGGCCACCCTGAGTTACAGTCGGACTTGATTGGACAGGACACGCAAAAGGACACAAGACCCTCCCGAGTGCCACATTGCCGTAAGAATGTAGGAGGCATGGTTCGCGAGAGACAGGACACAAGGGTACCCTTGAATTGGCAGGATCGGCCTACTAACCAGTGCCGACTGCACCTAGAGTCCTCCTGGAGTTATGCTTGAGCCTTCTAGGTGGTCCCTTTAAGCTAGCTTGGGCTCCCTGGGAAGCCTTCTAGGGCTTTCTTGCAAGCCATCGATCACAGAATGGGGGATCCCCATATATCGCTGCCCCTCTGGAAGCCGAGGGCAGCCTCATGGGACCCATTTCGGACGCTATTGCGCACTCTTGGGGCAGTCTCTTGGGCCGTCTTGGGGCGCTCTTAGGCAATCGTGGGGGCCCTCTTTCTTGGAGGCCTCTTGGGCCTTTTTGGGGTGGTCTTGGGGGCCTAGTGGGCCGTCTTGGAGCGTAGGGTTGCCGAAAAGGTGAGAACGCCAACAACCCCTAGAATCTACGACCATGCAATGAGTTGGGCCTCTTGGGGCCCTCTTGGGAGACGTCTTGGTGGTATCTTGGGGCGTCTTCGAGTGATCGTTCGGCGACTCGGAGCCCTCTTGGACCGTCTTGGCAGCCTCCTGAGCCGTCATGGCGGCCTTGGAGAGACCCAGGGAGGCACCATGGCTGCCCAGGGACCACCTGGGAGTAGGGCTTGTGCAGTCAGGGGGGGCTCCCGGAGCGGGCGGGGGGTCCTTTAAAAGAGTAAAGAAACGTTGCCAGGTAGCCCTTGGCATAATTTCACGCCTCTACGTGCCGCAGGCACGGTGGCGGATCTTGAAGCCCCGAAAGTTTATCGGAACTGAAGGCCAGCAGGCAACACACAATGTTCCCCTGCAGGTGTTGGAAGGAGTTTGGTCTCTCGGATGCTTCCTCGGGAGGTTCCGTGGTCTTTTGAGGCCGTCTCGGGGTTCCTGGACTCACGTTGGAAGCCATCCTGAACTATGTGAGCAATCTTGGAGGCCCTCTTAGACTCTGAGGCCATTGCTCAGCCGACGCTCTGGTCGCTTGTGCCCCCCCCCCCCATGGTAGGGAGGGCCGTGTAAATCCCTCCCCGAAGGGGGTGGACGGGGTTGGAAGAGGAAACGCATTGCACAACCTCCGCCCTTTCGGGGGGCGCGCTAACATGCCGTCTGCCCTAAAACATGTGAGAGGGTAGGTGAGACGTTTTCTCGACCATTGGAGCTGACGATTGCAATTTTTGAAATGCATTGCCCCACGTAGACTGCGCCACAGAATGTGCACCACATACACTGCACCGCATTGCTTATACTACACCATGTCAATGAGCGTTTCGATCGTCCCGCGCACGATCGACGTCGACCCTTGCGGGGGGCACCAGCAGTGTAGGAACATCGGCCGAGATCGTCTAGGCGTAGTGCTTGAATTGAGCTGCTGGCGCCGCCCATTTTCAGGCTGGGCCCAACATGCCTCGCAGAACGTTTGCAACATCCCGATGGCCAGCACGAGGCCGGAGCCGCCGTCCCCGTATTCGGCAGCCGGGGGGTGTCGTGGCATACCGACGTCGGAAGTGTCGCCCCCCACGCAGCCTCTGCTCTGGCTCAAAAAGGGCTGCCCAATTCGACTCTGCTGGCGCGCGGGCCCCCGCTGCCAAGGAGAGCGATGGGGAGGGTCACCACCCACCAAACCACCCCAACCCAACCCGAAGGCCTCATTTTGCTTTCCATTTCCACTGGGGGGGGGTCCGGGAACATCGAAAAAACACATACGGAGCCCATACCCCCCCAACCCGAAATTCGGGTCTTC